GCCGGTGAGTTTGCCCAAGAAGCACCAAGCTTCTATCTTATCTTTAAACTTATATATATGCACTATGTGGCTCTCCATTAACCCCCCACCCACCCATCTCGCTCCCAGAAATGTGCCTCTTGAAATTCACTGATATTATGTTGCAATCAGGTCCTTACATGAAATGGAATAGACAGGTGCTGCTACTTCAAATATTAAGCTAATATGTTTAAATCACCCTTAGGGCTTTACTGTTTTACTATACTATGTAAATACATTAGTAATCCAGCACATTATTATTCTGAGTTGCCCCACTCAAGCGGCGGCCATATTGAGTGGGGCACCTGAGAGTAATAGCGTGCTAGATTAGTGTGATCCTAGTTCATTTTATTACTTCATTACTTCATTGCTGTGCTGTATGTGTATAGGCCAATGTAGTTGGATCTGTATGTGCGTTATAATTAAATCGATTAATCGATTTTTTTTTTTTTAAATTTGATTAATCGAACACGAAAATTTTAATCATTACCAGCCCTAAAATAACGCAATTCCTTTTTGGGGAACTACTGTTTCAAAAAGGAACTGGTGTAAGTCTGAGTCTAAGGGAAGTGTTGAAGAAATGTGTTGTTGCGTTAGAAGGTGTTTAATTTGGAGGTATCGGTATAATTCTGGTGGAAGCAGGTTGTATCGGGCAACCAGTTGGGAAAAGGGAAGCAAAGATTCCTTAGAGAAGATATCCCATAAATAATACCCAAGTTGTTCCAATTTCTCAAGTTAAAGGAGTGGTATGAAGTTAGTACGGTTTTAGGGTAGGTATGTTGGTGGTCGGAATAGAAGAGTGGGAGTGTTTGTTTTTTTTTTTTTTTTTTAGAGCTTGCCAGGTTGTAAGTGTAGTTCGAATCGACGAATAAGTGGAGGTAGAACTAAGGGGTTTACATTTTAAAGCAAGGAGGATATCCATTAGTGAATCGCATTTCAGAAAAGTGAGTTCTGTTTGGACCTAGAGTTTGTCCTGAGTGGGACGTCAACATTAATGAAGCTGATCAAGAATAGCCACTTGATGAGTAAGTTGGGAAGAGCAAGATCTACCCGCAAGCTTGGATTTATAGATAATATGTGCGGCACATCTGGGCTTTTTCCCTGCCAGACAAACGGAAGGACCTGCTGCTGAAGGGTTTGAAAAAAGGAAAGAGGGGGCCTTAATGGGATTGTATGTATAGTAATTTGGGGAGAGTCATTTTGAAGGCCGCCATTCTTCCAAATACGGAGAGATTATTTTTGGCTGCGTTATTGAGTTCTTTAGGCAGGCTTCAGAACAACGATTTATAATATCTAGCAGAGTCTAATCTGGGTCATGAGATTCCTAAATGAGGAAGTCCACGAGAAGGGGGATCGAGATTGTAAGGAGTTTTTAGTGTCTTAAGGGTAAGTTGACGTTTATGTACGCTTTTCTATTTTTGAATATAGGAATATCTGGGAGCATAATTTTTTTTTTATTTTTTTTTTAATATCCATTTGTTTTTCTTTTGTATTGTGAGGCAGAAAAGTAAAATATTGTGCAGTATGGTAATACAAACCTTTACAGTATTGCTATTGAGGTGGTAAAGGCCAGATATTAAGCTTTCATCCAAACCTTGAGCAGAACAATTGAATAAGTAGGGAGGAAGTGCTGAGGAAGTATTTGCATGTGTCGGAGTTTGCTGATATTTTTCCAGACTTCCATAGGACTAACAAAACAAATAAGCGTCCTGTATTTGAATCTGTTTTTCTGTCATAACACTTGGCACTGTTACGTTCCAGGACCTCTCTATTGCCAAGTTCGTACATTTAATCTTTTTATGTATACTTGAGCTTTTTTTTGTTTGTTATATAGGACTGTTTAGCTTCTACTTTAAATAATTTATTAAATACTTTTGATTGTAGTTAGGACAAATTAGAAATGAATGTTGGTAAGGTACAATTACCATCAGGTTTTTTGAAACACGTGGTAGATCACAGCTTGATTCAGATTTTCCTTCCTCTACTGCTTAGGAGTTGCACGGTGCCACAACATGTATCTGACCTCCTTTTGACACGTGCCTTTTTTTAAAGAGTTTAGTTTAAAACAAATGCTTTCCTGTAAGTTGAAATAGTGGGTTTGTCTCTTTGCGAAGAAGAGAAGGGAAACAAAATATAAGCAGCTGTGGGAAACCGCATTACAATAAAATGGTCTCCATTTCCCCAAATGGTCAAAGCACAGGTTTACTGTTAAATTATTTTGCCAGTTGTTTTTACACAACATACCTCTGGGTATATGCCCTTGCTCTAAGAGGTAGGAGACTGAGCAAATCAAAAGGCACAGCTCCTCTTAGTGACGACACCCCCTAATTAATCCTGGGATAATAAAAACAAAAACACTAAACCAAAAACAGGGAATAAAATAAAGGGGAAAATGTCTTTCTTGAGTGGTTGTGCAACGAGGGGCACGTCGTGCGCAATGTATGCGTTCCTTGAACAGGCGTTTGAGGGGGAATACACTTGCGCTCAACGTGAGCGGGTTGTTTGTTTGGAAGCCCAGATTCTGGATCTAAGCAGCAAACTGGCAACACTGAGGTGCATAACCAACATGGAAAAGAGTCTGGACCTAACGCACCAGGCTGTGGTGGAGGGGGGCCTAGATGAGACTGGGGGTGCGGAGGAGCAGGATCCCGAGGTGGGAAGCTGGGTCACAAGAGGGGGTAGAGGGAAGAGTGCTAGAGAGGTCAGCCCTGAACTGGTTAACCCAAACAAATACGCCAGGTTGCGGGATGTTGGGAATATTAGTTCAGGGGTGACACTGCTGGAGCAGGACGCCTCCTACATCGGGACCGTGAGCGTCGAACAGTGTGCTGCTTACCCGGGGCGCGTGTTCAGCACATTGCGGAAAGAATTGACAGGTTACTAGATGGGGTGGGGCACAACCCAGTTGTCATGGTGCTCATCGGCACCAATGACAAAATAGGAGGTAAATGGAGTGTCCTAAAAAAGGAGTTCAGAGACTTAGGTGCTAGGCTGAAGGAAAGGACCACCACGGTGGTATTCTCTGAGATACTGCCAGTGCCACGAGCCACTCCGGAGAGACAGCGTGAGTTGAGGGAACTTAACAAGTGGCTCCGTAACTGGTGTTGAAACGAGGGCTTTGGTTTCCTTGAAAAGTGGGCCGACTTCTCAGTCGGTTACCGGCTCTTCAGCCGAGACGGGCTGCACCTTTATGGGGAATATGCAGCATTTCTGGGGGGGAAAATGGTTAAAAGACTGGATGATCTTTTAAACTAGATAATGGGGGGGGAGGGTAAAATTAAAAACAAAAAAAAATACATATTAAACAACTTATCGTGCCAGATATCCTAGAAGGAAAAAACACAGGATTAGATAGTGGGCTCACTCCAGTCAGCAGAGTCAACATAGTCAACGTAGTAAATCAAGCCAATATAGAAAGCATACTAAATGTAGTCAGTAAAGTAGGGCTGCAACAACTAATCGACATAATCGATTATAATCGATTATTGAAAAACTGTTAACTTTTTCAATCATCGATTAATCGGCCTCTGATTAGTTGGCCCTGTTCACGGCTCCACACAAGCTGCGCGCCGCCACCTCTTCCCCACCTCACGCCTAGCAATACATTATACAGTGGTGCAATGCTGAATACCGCTAGCTATAGAGGACTACAAAACCTAGCAATAGTACAATATACAGTGCAATGCAGAATACCACCAACTATAGAGGACTACAAAACTCAGCAATAGTACATTATATAGCGCAATGCAGAATACCGTCAGCTATAATGTACTATTGCTGGGATTTGTTGTATTCCTCTATAGCTGGTGGTATTCTGCATTGTGCTGTATAATGTACTATTGCTGGGTTTTGGAGTCCTCTATAGCCGGTGCCATTCTGCATTCATTGCTGTATAATTTTACACTTCTCATTTCACTATATTGCACACCACACTTTCTTTTTTACTTCCACCGCTCCAAGCTTGCTCTTGTGATGTACTACAATCTCAATTAAAAATAGTAGTCCCATCACTGGAGCCATTTTTTAAAATGTATTTTATTTTTTTATCCGATTAATCGAACTTAATAATCGGCTAACCGATTTTGAAAATAATCGTTAGCTGCAGCTCTAGTAATGTGTGCATTACTGTAATCCATGGTTGTTTCCCTTCTCTTTGCTGCTCTTCCTTTTAAATCTGTATCTGTTCTCATGCTTGGCAGAACTTCTGTTTTGCAGCAGACTGCCTTGTCTCTGAAATGGATACATGGGGGTTGATTTACTAACCTTATAAACATGCCACGAACAAGTGTACACCTCTGTAGTGTGTTCCCTCCCAGCATGATCTATTGGTGGAATCTAGACACCTTTGTAGTGTGTACACACCCAGCAGGTGTGTTGTGCAAAGCCCTGCATGAATTGCAAGGTGATGTTGTGTAAATTAGCTCTACATTGTGTTGCTTGCGTTGATGAATGCAGGAATGTAAATGCATGAGCTAACCATTTTTGTCTAAACTGTGAAGCAGCATTATATATGGATCATGTGCATGATTTTTCCATATATGGCATTAGTGGAAATATGCTTTTAGACTTTTTGGTTGATAAATATGTTTTGCTGTGTAAAAATCACACGCACCTAGTGCGTGCGTGTGTTTAGGTTAGTAAATCGCCCCCATGGTGTCTGTGTGTTGGTTTGCAACCTGAGCCAGCACTACAGAAAGAGGCACTCAGCTGCAAAGGGAAGTTCTCCCCCAGCATGAGAAGACATGAGGATTTAAAAGGAAGAGCAGCAAAGAGAAGGGAAACAACCATGGATTACAGTAAGGCACACATTACAGTATTGGTTTATGTTAAAAAATCTGAGGGTTTATTGTCACTTTAATTGTGATGTGGCATTTTACTTGCTTACAGGTCTTCACAGCTGGAAGTGCTAGTATCTTATTTACTCCATTAATGCCCATTTTCGTGTCTAAATTCGTAACATATTTTGTATTTCTTTCTTTCAGGTGTAAAACAAAAGTATACCCTGATAGTTTACCATCAACAAGTGTTGTAATAGTGTTTCACAATGAAGCCTGGACAACATTACTGAGGACAGTGCACAGTGTTATAAATAGATCTCCACGACACCTTCTCGAAGAGGTTATTCTCGTGGATGATGCCAGTGAACGAGGTGAGTACCATGTACCTAATTAAAGGTTTAAACTGAAATTTTCTTTTGTACAGTTGTATTTTGGTATTTGTTCATATTGTTTACATGCACCAAAACCAAGTTTCCACAGCAGTAAAATATTGTGCAAGTTGGACTTTGAGTTGTGTGAAATGCATGCCATGCCACAGCGACTTACTTTGGACATAATTTACATAATGATTTCCAATGGTCATCAAAGTGCATTGGAAATGTAACTTTAAATTTTAAGTCCGAGGTAGTTGAGAGATGTAGTATAGTCGGCCTACAATTTATTTAGCAGGCTATGTCATCCACAAGTCTTTGAATTATAGAACATTAGACATCTGTTTATAAGGCAAGTCTAGTGCAGCATATATGTATTAGCCATAAGGAGTGCAGCACTGATTTATTTTTTTCCCCCATGGAAAAATGAATCTGACCACTTATATATGAGGTAGGTCCTTCCTGGTTGTCCTTTTTATCAAGGCAGTGAGGCGTTGCATTAATACCCTGATACAGTTCTTGGTAGTTTTCAGCATGGATCCCTCAGCACTGAAAACAAGTATCCATTCTGCGAATGTGAAACCTGGCGCCACTACTCCAATCGAGTTAAGCAGTAGATGAAATTTGTGTGGTCCGATATATATATAATTAATAATAAAAGCCGCGCTGTGTGAATTAATCTACAAAGTATCAGATATAATAGATACAGGCCTTGAAACAATGTGATACAATGTGAGAGTAACAATAGAAGAAACGCATGTGTATACCATGCATTTTGTAGCAACACAATATGTTGCTACAAAATATCCATAATGAAAACTCAAATACAATAGATACTAGCCGTGAAACAATGTGATGCAATGTGAAAAGAATAACTAGAAAAAACGCATTTGCAAATAATGGCTACAAAAATGTCCATAATCCTGGATCTTCAACGGTCTATTAAGAAAATAGAAGATATAAAGTGGATGTAAAGTAATCTGTCTCCTGTGACCATCAACAGAGAAATCTTAAGGAATGCACCTCACCTTTAGCAGAGACCCACCAGGGTCTATATGCGCTGTTCCTCTAATTCAAACCAGGTAGAGGAAGCACCTGATGCCAAACACCTCCTAGTTATTTCCTCCACTCAGGTACAGACTCCTATTTCCAGCCTCAGGAGTTGAAAGCAGTTAATTCATCTAAATGGACCATGCATCAAATAAAAAGTGGAAACTCGTAGTGCAGATGGTTTCGAAAAGATAAAATACTTTATTAAAAAAGATACTACTCATAAAAATAAGGTTCTGATAAAACAACTTGGTAAGCAGCCACAGACACTGTGCGATCGCTCAGCATCCTATACTCCACCCTACGTACATTACGTCAAGGGGTGTGGCTTCATCAGAGGTGTATCAATTCTGCAATATAGAGAAAGTTTAGGATACTGCAAAATGTCTGACATTAAAACATAGCACCTGCCTAAACTTTTAACCTAAACCCTTAAAATGTGCCCTTTAACACTTAGCCTTTCCTGCCAACACAGAAGACTGATAGATGCAGCAATTCTGCAATTGTAAAAATCTTTAATTTATCTACTAGCAAGGTCCATTCCAATTAAAATCATCTTGGGTGGATATGTCCTAATCACTCTTACTTTAAGCAGAGGTGTGGCTCAATTGTCCTGATCAGTTATCCAAAATCTGCTCTTGGCTCCCTCCACTCCAAATTTACTATTGATAAAACAGTCATATGGCATTTGCCTGTAAATTTAATCAATCATATCCAATATGATTATTTGCAAAACACCTATCATTTCTATTATTTTGTAGATTTGCTTTCATCTTTGATATTAACTGTTGTTGACTGGTCTTAAACTATTTTAACCCTTTCGCTGCCAAGGACGTACGGCATACGGAGCTACAAAAGTGCTTCCAGCTGGCCAGCTCAGTATGCCGTATGGACCTGGCATTTACAGTTCTACTATAAGGTGATGGTCGCTTTAGCGACCATCAGCTTATAGTAGAACTGATCAGCAGACTGTCCCCTTTAAATTAATAGCTGTCATCAGCGGCTCACAAGCCGCTGATGACTGCTATTATCAAAAATACCGGGCGCGGCCCCCCGCCGGCACCGCTGCTGCCCGCCGCCGGCATCTGGAGTCTCATCTCTCCCTGGAGCCATCCCAGGGAGGGATGAGGATGCGCTTTCAGAAAATATATGGTTTGGAGGGTCTTTTACAAACGCTAGCAACCCAGCAGTTGAAAATCAAATCAATAGGAAAAAAGTGCAAAAATTGCTTGGCCAGCAGATTTGAAAAATGTTCCGGAGGGCTTGGCAGCGAAAGGGTTAAACTCAATAGAATCTGTCAGCATTATCTACTTGTACTGAAGCACTTTGCATTTTGCGATATTAACCTTTTGTATGTTGAAAAATGTGTTTTAAATTTATTGTGGCAAATATTTTAATTTTGTTTTGTATAACTATGAACAGAAGAGCCAAAAATACATGAATGACAGCTTAGTCTTTCCATAGAGATAAATGTATTCCTGTTTTTCTTGCATGAAAACCCATCTAAATAGTAAAAAAAAAAAATAATGCAGAACAGGGAGCTGCATCTTAAGACTGCTTACTAATGAAGAATCCTTTAAAACCAATATCCTTCAACTGAAACCTTTACTGGGAGAGTACTAAAGCCGCTGTTGCTCTCTTCTCCCTTTATCAAGCTAATTGCTTGGCAATTATTGGAATTCAATACCTTTTAATATTTAACTGGTCCATAATCATTATGTGGATCAGGAGTTATGACATCACCATAGTTTTCTGATCCACATGCTTGTTTTTGAGAGACTTAGAAAGGATTCAAGCCGCTGGATCAGCATGATAGGAAACTAATATTCTTAGGGGGTACAAAATGGCAACCCCTTTATTTCTCACAGTACATTTTTTGTTTTTTTAAACGAGCAGTTCTTTCAAAATTTGTAAATGCTAGTCTACCCAGCATCACTTTCAGACGCTGCTATCAAGCTCTGGCAGGTATTTACTGAGCATCTAATCAGCATTGGTAGAGTTCAACCGAAAAGTATACCAGGGCTTGCTAAATTCCTTTTAAAGTGTACTAAAAGCATGTTAAAACTTTTAAAGTTTTTAGATTTACTTTGGGGCATGTGAACCATATCTTGACAAAAGCAGAAAAGGAGCACTACAACCTAGAGATTTTGTTGTTTAAAAAAGGATATAATGCTTAAAATAATAAAAAATGTGAGACTCACTGTTGGATTAACGTGGCAATGTCCTGCTGGTGAAGGGTGGATGGTGCTGTCAACATGGGTCACAGCCGACTTCTGCAGCTAGACTGTATGAATATTACGATGGGCTTGGAGTATCTAGTTCAGCCCCCTGGTATTGGAGGAAGGTTGGTGTTGACAGCTGGGGGGCTCCTGGAGCACCAGAAATCTGCCGTCCTGTAGCCTTGTTTGTAAACAGGCTGTGCAGTGGAAATAATCGTGCCGTCCGATACCGTGGGAAATCAGCTGGCCAGGCTGAGAACCGTCGGCTGAACGGAAGCGAGAGTGCCGCTCTATAGCGGTTTGAGAACTGTCGGCAGTCGTTGTGACAGATCACTATGCCTCTTTTTCAAGCCCAAAGAAAATTGTCAAGCTCTTTCTTTGGGCTTGAAAAAGAGGCATAGTGCCTCGCAACGCGTAGCCAAACTGTCTGTCATTCACATCACCCAGCGAGACAACCCGCACTGTCCTCAAGTCCTGTGCCCATATCCCCAACATTCCGTAGTATTATCTGAACTGAATTTAGATATGTCCCAAGTGCCATTTCTGAAGAATCTTAATTTGTAATTCTTGGATGTTTGTAAAGTAGGACATATATTCTTGAGTATAGTTGTAAGAAAAGTTTCTTCAGGTGTTATTATACAACTTAGGTCATGTTCCAATTCTTCCATATGTCTAGATTTTCATCTGATAGACATAAAAGGGTACTGTAAATTTTGGATGTAGATTTGGCAGTTGGGACATGGGCTAAGGAATCTTTCAAATTTTGTAGTTCCTGTTTTGTTTCATTATGATATCTTTCAATCCCCTTTTTCTGAGTATTTGTACTATCATTTAAAGATTCAATGCTTTTTTGATTTGGGTTTTTTTCCCCACTTATACAAAAGTGTTTAGTTAGTTATATTGAGCAGCCTTGACATATATTTTGGTCCTGAAGTATTTTTGTGATGTTTTTAGTATACCCATATATTTTATCCAAACCAGGAAAAAATAGATCACCTGGCACAGTCAGATATTACACATTTTCCCATTAATATGCATCTTGACTAGTCAATGTCATTTCTGGTTTGGATAACAGTTCTGATGCTGTGGCTGAAACTAATGTCTATGTGCAGTTGTTTGCAAATTCATAGACTACAGATAGGTGTAACAACCTTCATTATGGATTTTTTGAACATATATTACAACCATAGGTATGCCTCTGTTGACCGCACCATTACTTATTTATTGTAGTGTTGTGAACTGTGTTTTATATATACATGTCTGATACTAACAACAATCCCTGAAATTCCTGAAGAGTTTCTATTACACTTTTTACAAATCTGTTGTGCATGCACATGACAAATGCTTGCCCCAGATTCATGTACCTGTTGGGTTTAAGGACTTACACTATGTGTTGGCAGAGCCTGATGGGAAACTCTGAGAGCCTAGTTCACCATCAGGTCCACTTTATTGATTGGCAGCAGGCAAGTCTGTAAATTTCATAGCCACTAGCAGGTTGGCAATTGGCTGTGGAATCTATCTACTGCCTGCTGTCAATCAGTAGCAGAGTGGACCTGATGGGGAACTGGGCTCTCAAAGTACCCCCATAAGGCTCCACCCACTGTCAGTGTATTGGGTTACTAAGAGAATGTCGGCTATGCAGCCTGACAACTTTTTAGAAACCAGTGACTCTTTCATTGTCCCATTCAGCTGCTGGCAAGAAGAATCCCTGGCTGGCAGCTGAATGTAAAT